CTGGCATGTGGTGCTGGGGGATTGAACCGCGGTCCCTGTGCTTTGCTAAGCTTGTTCTAAGTAGGTGCTTTAGACCACTGAGCCATCTCACCAGCCCTCCCTGCTCTTCTTGACTTCATGGTTTGTGAAGAGAAATCTGCCATTATTTATTTACTTATTTTGCAGAACCGGGGATTGAACTCAGGCCCTTGCACTTGCCAGGGAAGCACTTATTCCACTGAGCTATCTTCCTGGTCCAAATCTGCCAATATTCTGATGGGTTTTCCTTTAAATGTGGTCTGTTTCTTTTCTCTAGCAGCGTTTAGTATACCGTTCCAGTGCTGAATTTCTAGGATCTTGATTATTATATATCTGGGTGTGGTTTTAATTGGGTTGATGTTATTTGGAGCTCTATATGCTTCGGTTACCTAAATGTCATTGCTTATTCAAGGATTCCATCATTTTTATATTCTGCTCTATTTTTTTAACATCTATTTTGCTCTATTTTTTTAACATCTATTTTTTTTATTCTGCTCTAAGTCTTCTTTAGAAGCACTTAGTACTTCTTTGATTATAGTTATCATTTCTTTTTTTATTCAGGTATTATTTCTGATCTGATTTCCTCTATACCTTTGTGTAGTTGTTTCTTTACTTCCAACGCTATTATTTCAGAATTTCAGGTGTGTGATTTCCAATTTCTTCTATGCTAGTGTCTTCTGCATTTGTACTGGGTGGACTCGGGGCCTGAGACTACATTTTGTTCCTTCTCCTTGTCAATTTGTATACAACAGTCTTCTGACCTTTGGTGTAGAGCTTAGAGTTACTACCTTAGCACCAGGTCCAGACCTACGAAGTTTAGACTCCTCAAGGTGGATCTGGCTGGGGTCTGGATGCTGTGCTCCACTTCTTCCTGCTGCAGCCCTTGGAGGTGAACCCTCTGTGCCACTCTGGCAAGATGTTTTGCTCCTGAATCAGCTGGGTGGGTCATGCCTCTACCTCTTTGCAGGGAGTTCTGCTGAAGGGTTCCACACCAGGCCTGGCCTCTGGATCGATTCAGGATCTGGTGGGCCCCAGTCGGTCTCACTCATGAGCCAGGACTTGGCTGTGGGTCGAATGAGGATCTGGCAGGCCCTGGGTTGTCTCACTCAAACACCAGGCCTGGGCTATGGGTCGAATAGTAATATGATTTTGAGCACAAAAATATACACTAATAAAAAGATACATTAATAAAAATATAAAA